TCTTTGAGATACCCGGACATGTCTGCGTACCTCTCTATGCCCAGAGAATGTTTTAGTCTATTTGAAATAGATATGCACTGACAATTTTTCAAATGCATGTGGATTCATTTGTTCCACCACTTTGATGGACACTGAATGTTAAGTATCATTAGGCAGACGAATATAATAATAAGCCCCACAAACCAGTATTGCTGTGCTCATAGGTCTTACTTTCTAAGTAAAGAAATTTTGAGTTGGAGAACAATAATGCATACAATCAGTAAGTAGACTATATAGTCTTTTTGAGAATGATAAGGATTAAGAAGAAAAAATAAAAGAGTCAATATAAAAAGAAGATGTTAACATTTTAAATAGGGCAGCCAGGGAGGGTGTTACTCGGACTTTACGTAAGCTAACTGTATGGACACAAAGGAAGAGCGTTATGACTGAAGGAAATGCTAGTGCAAAGGCCCTAGAGAGCATGCGTCTGTGTATGCAAGGAACCATAAACCATAAGGAGCCCACTGAGGCTGGAGTGGAGTGAACAAGGGAGCAGGAGAATATGAGGCTGATAAAGGAACCGTATGGCTGGCAACAGCCCTTCTAGGTTCAAAAAAACATTGAGATGGGAAATTTTGAGCAGAGGAGTGACGTGATCTGACTTAGGTTTTAAGAGAGTCTCTCCCTTGAAAATAGACTGAATAGGTGAGTTGATAACAGAGAATGGTATGTGCTTGCAATGGGAAGTTATCCTACCACAAAGAGAAGTGATGATCTGATCCACACAATATCTCAGGCCTGTAGATATGCAGAGTGGGATGAGTCACACACAAAAGCGAGAATACTCCACTATGCAGCCTTCGTTTTGAAAAAGAACAGAAAAAATCTTTAATTATTATGCAATCCCTCCCCCCAAGTCCACTCCACTACGCAGCCTTTGTTCTGGACTCCTGTCATTATAATACCTAATCATATATCAGTTTTGTACAGTTCTCCTCCTCATCTGTTTCAATGCAGAATATATAATTTATCCCATCTTCCTCATTCTCCCCCCAACCCAGATGTCAGTCCCGTTTTACAACAATGGCACTATTCAGTATTTGTCCTTTTGTGACTGAGATATTTCACTCAGCATAATGTCCTCCAGGGTCACCCATTTTATATACTATTTCATGAGTTCTTTGTTTTTCTAAGCAGTGTAGTATGTATAGTGATGCAACAGTGATTTTTATTTTTTGATAGGAGGAAAACAAAGTAAAAGAAGCATATCTTTGTCAAGGTAGCAATAAACTTTTGTTCATGTCAATGAAAAGTGTAACAATGGATATTGATCATGTTTGAGCAGTTAAAGTGATGTAATTGATTTCATTGTTTATTATAAGTGACATGTAACAATGGCAAGTGTGCTATCTGTATTTTAATATAAAGAAAATATATGAAATCTTTTTTTTTAAAAAAGTACATAGACTGGAAGAGGCCAGGGGCAAAAATCCAGTAAAGAGGCTAGTTCAGTACTGTAGGCAAGAGATGATGGTGACCTGGCTCAGGGAAAAGAAGTGGAAGTGTGAGAACTTGCCTGGATTCAAAAGGTGTTTGATAGAATAGCCAGAGCTGGTGGTCCCTGGGAGGCACGGATGGGTAAGTGCTTGAACCCACCCAGAGGAGCCCAGGAAGTCAGGCTTGACAATTTGCTTTTGAAAGGTCCCAGCCTTGAAAATCTAATGTGGCAGTTCTGTTCTGTACACCGGGGGTAACCGGGAGTCAGAATTGATTGCAAGTCAAGTGGCAACAAGAGGCAGAGCCGGCAAGATTGGCTGATGGATTTTTGTGGAATGTGGGAGAAAGACAAGACGGCACTGAGGGGTTTGATGTGAACATCTCTTTTAACGGAAATGGAGGATGCAGCAGGACTTGGAGGCTGGGAGCTTCATTTTGAACCCATGATGATGAATATTAGACATCCAAGTGAGCATGCCCATTGATGGAAAAGAGGCAAAATTATTTTAAATACCATATCAGATCTGTACAAGCTTTGCTTAATTGTTAGTTTTTAAAAGTATATCCTAAAAGTGTAACTATTGTCTTTTGTTGGCGGAAACCATTTCGACCTTGAAAAAGGACTTTGTGCTGAAGGACATATAGAAACACTGAGTAGAAGTGACAATCTTTTTGTTTTATGCTGTCGATTAAATTCCCACTCATGACTCTATAGAAAACTGAGTGAAACTCTGTCCAATCCGATGCCAGCTCTACAATCTAAGCTGTCTTTAAAGCCATTGTTACAGTTACTGTGCCAATCAACTCTTAGTGCCTACAAATACTACTTTCCCTTTTCCTCTTTTATTGCATTAGCCCATTATCTCATTGGTATCAAGTTGGTAGTAGCTCACAGAAACCCTGTATGGCAGAGCAGAACTTCCCCTTAGGATGGCTAAGAGGGCATACCTTTATGGGAGCAGACTTCTCGTCTTTCTTCTGAGGAGCGTCTGGTTGGCTCAGCCTGACCTTTCTTCATTCAGCAGTCAAAATGCCTAACCCACAGTACCACTATGAATCCAATATTTGGTTAACATACATTCATTTCTAATCTGCGTTATGCAGATAACACAACCTCATGCACTTGCTGCAGAGGGTCAAGGACTGCAGCCTTCAGTATGGACTGAGGCTCAATGTCAAGAAGACAAAGATTCTCACCACTGGGCCAATTGGCAGCATCAGGATGGATGGCAAAGAGATTGAGATTGTTCACAGCTTCAGTTTGCTCGGCTCCACGGTCAACACTCTTGGCACCAGCAGCCAGGAAATAAAAAAAATGTATTGCGATGGGAAAGTCTGCTGTTAGGGACCTCTCTAAAGTACTCAAGAGCAACGGTGTCTCTCTGGAGACTAAGGTGCACCTGATACAGGCCATGGTCTTTGCAATCACTTGTTGTGCATCAGAGAGTTGGACAATGGCTAGGGAGGATAGAAGGAGAATTGACGCCTTTGAGCTGTGGTGCTGAAGATGAGTATTGAATGTACCATGGACTGCCAAGAAAACAAACAGATTCATCCTAGAGAGGGGTAAACCAGACTGCTCCTTGGAGGCAAGGATTCTGGGGCTTCAACTGACATACTTTGGACATGTTGTAAGGAGAGACAAGTCCTTGGAGAGGGACATCATGCTTGGTAGGGTGGTGGGACAGCGCAGGAGGGGAAGACCCTCTATGAGGTGGATTGATTCAGTGACTGGGGTAATCGGGATGGGTGTGTCAGAGGCAGTGCAATTGGCACAGGATAGAGCAGGGTTTAGGGCTGTTGTACATAGGGTCGCTATGAGTCGCAAACCACTCGACGGCACATAACAACAACAATGTTCATTTCCAATTTTATGTTATTAAAACTTTTTGTAAACCTAACTCATTGCTGTCAAGTCAGGACCAACTCATAGCTGACCCTGCTTTGGGTTTCCAGAGCAGTAAAGCATATGAGAAGAGATTACTCTCTGTCTCTGCTGAGCAGCAGCTGATGGATTCAAACCACCTGCCTTTGTGTTGGCAGCACAACTCTTCTCCTCTCCTAGATGAACTTGCTGTTTTGTTATGTGCCATCAAGTCACCTGCAACTCATAGCAACCCTATGTACAATAGCTCTGAAGCCTGCCCTGTCCTACGCCATTCTCACTGACTCCAATACACCTACCCCCATTGCCCTAGTTACTGTATCAATCCATCTTATCCAGGGTCTTCCTCTCCTGCACTGTCCCTTCACTCTCCAAGCATAATGTTCTTCTCCAAGGACCAACCCCTCCTGGTCATTTGCCTAAAGAATGTGAGATGGAGCTTAAAAATATTAGCCTCCAAAGAGAAACTTGGTTTCACCCTCTCCAAGACAGACATATCTGTTTTCTTGGAAGTCTATGGTATGGTCAAGACTCTTCTTCAGCACCACAACTCAAAGGCATCAATTCTTTGAGCATCCTTAGTCAGTAACCAGCTCTCTGATACATAGAAAGTAATTGCAAAGACAATAGAATAGACTGGATCAGACGCACCTTAGTCTCCAGACTGACATCATTGCTGCTCAGTACTTTGGAAAGGTCCCTGACAGCAGATTTACATAATGCAATTTGCCTTTTAATTTCCTGATTGCTGGTGCCAAAAGTGTTGACTGTGGAGCTGAGCAAGCTGTAACAATTAACAACCTCAATCTCCCCATCCATCTTGGTGCTGTCAGTTGGCCCAGTAGTGAGAATTTTTGTCTTCTTGACATTGAGCTTCAATCCATACTGAAGACTATATATAGTTCTTGACCTTCTGCAGCAAGAGCTTTAGGTCCTCCTCACTTTCAGCAAACAGGGTTGTGTTATTTGCATAATGTAAGTTGTTAATGAGTCTCCTTCCAATCCTGATGAACTTTGACATTTTATTTTGTGGTGTGGGATTTTTTCCCCCTTTAATGAAGCTTTTAATGGAACTTTATATTAAGGGAAAAATCCAGTGACTGTGCAACATTGTGTTTATTCATTACTTTATTGTGGGAGGAAATCAGAATGTTTATTTAATATATGTTTATGTACTATTTTTTGGCACATCTACTTTGGGGCATGTTGCTAGGAGAGGCTACTCCTTGGAAAGGGACACCGTGCTCACAAAGGTGGAGGAGGGCCAGCAAAAGAGGGGAAGACCTTTGGACGAGATGGATTGGCAAAGAGATGACAGCAATGGGTTCAAGTGTATCAGAGATGTTGAAGATGGTTCAGAATAGGATAGGGTTCAGATCTATTGTCTAGAGGATCACTATGGGCTATACTAGATTCGACAGCAAGGGTAACAACTCCGCCACTTGCACATCACAAAGTATTATTTGGTACTACAAGAGAATGAGTCAGCAGCGCTCTTCACTTTTGTGGTATTTGAAAAGTAGATTATTTCAGTAACCTCATATATTTTGCCCTTTAAAAATATTTTAATAAGTTTCATTTTGTGTTGTTTTATTGGTATCAATCTGTCACTGTCCATTTTAACATCTATCTCTATCAGTCTTATGCAGGGAAATATGTGCCCGCCCTCGCACACTATATCCATACCTTTAACCCCACAGCCGACCTGAAGATCAACTTGAAAGGAATTGCTATTGGAGATCCCTACTCTGATCCTGAATCAGTAGGTGTCTCTTTTTTTTGTTTCATTTTATGTCTTAAGGAGATGCAATCCTCTCTAAGAAGATGGAAGGGATCTTGTTTGATAAAGAAAATTCCTTTGACTTTCTAATGACTTACAACTTGTGATTTTTACCAAATATTTTAAGGCATTTCTCTACTGTGCCAGCGTTTGGTTTACTGGGTTTGCTCACAGAGCCTTTGTGTGCCTCTCTCCTCTCAACAAGATGGACTGACACAGTGACAGCAGCATTGTGCTCAAGTGTGTCTGAGATGATGAGGGTGGCAGAGGTTAGGACAGGGTACAGATCTGTTGTTCATAGGATTGCTCTGAGTCGTATTGGACTGGACAGCACCTAACAACAACAACATACACATACACGTATAATTGTTTTGTTTGGCCAATCCTAGCACCAGACTTTTAATTATAAAGGGGTTTTGCACCAAACAAATGGGCTTTCCTCACTTCTCCATTTTTCATTTGTGGCATCTGCCTTCGTCTCCTTTCTTCTCAGATTATAGGGGGCTATGCAACATTTCTGTACCAAGTCGGCTTGTTGGATGAAGAACAAGAAAAGTACTTCCAGAGCCAGTGTGATGAGTGTATAAAGCACATCAAGGCGGGGAACTGGACGGAGGCCTTTGAAGTGAGTACTGGGGCCCTGTGCTGCCCTTGAGCAATTAAAACCATCTGAGCAGAGGAGGGGGTCAAAAGAGGCACCATGCTGCTCCTGCATTTGGAGTTGGGTCCTCCCCCGCCCTATTTTTGTTAGTGAAGGTATCTGCTATGCTGTTGAAGATGAGAGGCCTAGATGAGTGGAATCCTAATGAAGAAAAGGACTGCCTAGGCTTCTTTGAATTTACTTTGACTGTATTTTTAACCTGGGAGCGCCTCAGGGTGTTTATAGAACTCCGTCTTTCATGAACTGTTTTGATTTCTTTAAATTCTTTGTAGACCCTAAAGGCATATCCAATCATATGGAAATCAGAAGAAAGGCAACCTAGGAAGTGGATGCATATGCTTCCACATGTGTTCAAAACCGTTCAGAGAGAGATCCACAAACCGCGTCTTTTCAGCTGCAGGAATGGTCACAGTGTGGAACAGATGTTACGAGTTCCTGCGTGAGGGGCAGAGAGTACAAAGTGTGGAGATATGAGATTTTCACAAAGAAACCATTGGCATTTGTGAATATTATAATATCGCTCCCTTAGAAGCCAACTTGAGAATCAAACAATATGGTTTTATTCTTCTCTTTTTGTTTATTTGAAATGTAAGAATATACTAAATATTAAGACACAAGAATTTGTGTTTCTTTGGCCAAAGAAGATGAAGGTCATGTAAACAATCTTCCTTGTAGGTTCCTGCCTTGTTTATTACAGTCATCACATTTGACATATAAATAAATGAAGCAAGGGCTAAATTGCAAGGGTGTTAATCTTGTTATTAGAATCACAGCCTCTAACAGCGTACCTTATGTCATTGTTGCCATTAAGGCTGAAATCTAGTATTAATAGTCTTCTAGGCCGTGGAGATCAGCTGGTTCAAATCAAACCAAGAGACACACAATCTTAGAGAGCAGGGAAGTAATATGAAGTTATGCTTTATTTTAGTATGGTGCCGGGGCACTTCCGGAAGTCACTCCCCGCTCCTACCCCTAGCAGTGACTGCTCTGGTTGGGAATTCTGATAGCAGAAGGCTGTGCAACTGGAGCTAAGTGTGTAAAGTTCCAGGCCAAATGGAGGTTAATGGCTTTCCCTGTTACCCCAACACGGGCCACAAATGTGGCCACAAATTGTTGATTCAAATGCTCTTGTGCAATTGTAGATGTGAGGGAAGGAGGATTTTATCAGGATCATGCTCCAACTTGCAATGACAATGTTTTTCAGACAAGTTTTAGGTTATCAGCTGTGGTAGAGAAAGAAGGTGAATGTACACGGGAACTAGAATCACATTTTATGTGGCATAAGACCAATCTGCAAGTAAAGCATTTGAAATGCTTTTCAAGAAGCACATAAGGATTAAGCCTTGTCAAGAGCAAGTATATTTGATAGGCCCAAAGGGATAAAGAAAACAGAAAAATATCCGTGGTATATGAAGCAGCAGCCCGCATACCCACAGGATTAGTGAAACTTGAATGTTAAGGTATCTTTTATATACTTAGAGATATAAAGTGGCCCATGAAGTATAGCGATGCCGGATTCATAAAGGCAAATAATAATTAAAAACAAAAATGAAAATTAATGAACTCTTGAATGTATAGAATAGCTTTGTAACCAGTGGGTCAATAATTTAAGTGATGAGATGAAATCTTAAGACCATTGCTTTTTCAAGACAAATAGGCAAGACGCTGTGAGGAATGTAGGCAGCTGGTGGTGAAATGTGTTTCAATATCCGCAGTGGAGCACTCCAAGAACTCTTGAAGCCCAGGAGAATACAAATGTCAAAACTTCAAGCCTGGCTAATAATGCCGGTTTGGTTCTCTGATTCCTTAAAATGACTTCGTTAATCATTTAGTTAATCAAAGAGCAGTCACTCAGGGCTGGAGGGGATTAGAGATCATTATCTCATTACACACACCCCCCCCCCCATACATCTGATAAGGAATCTGAAGCTAATGAATTGCTAAAAGCCACACAAATAGATTGCAGCAGATCTGGGGCCAGAATTCTTGCCCCCTGTTTCCCACCCCAGTATTTCTGCTTCCTTGTCAGGCACTCTGTTCAAATCCTCAGCCATCTTAGAAATGCTTTAAGATATCAAGTGGCCAGTCTCTGCTCTTGCACTGTTTCTCATTCCATAGTAATGTTCTGACTCAAAGCGTTGCCTTTGTGAAATATGTTTTAGCCTCAGACTGTATTTGACATCATTTGAGTGCCTGCCTTATTGGTCTAACTGCAAATGATTTTTTATTTTGAAAAATCCAACCCATTGTTAATTATATTTTCACTGACATTGGTAATACTGAAGTTGAGTTGCAAAAACGCTCCATACATTTGGAAACAGTGCTAGCCTACCGCATATACCTTGGAGTGAACAAATCAGAAAACTACTCTGAACTAACACAGTCCCTAGAGGTCAGGAACTGACATACAGATGCTGCCTTTGTGTGAGGATAAAATGCAGCCCCTTCTGTAGATGCACTCTGAGCCAGGACACTGGGCCTGACAAGCAGAGCTTCCACTGTTTTCTTGCCCCTTCATACCCATCAGCCAAGCCCATGTAGTGCACAGTTGGTCCAACCGCCCCATCCACATGCAGCAGCCTTGGGCGATGGCCCCATTGCTCACCTGTGCTCACACCCCCTTCACTAACTCCCATCCCTCACCCCAGGCAGTGTTAACTTGGACAGTAAGTCTTACATGTTTGAAAAAGAAGACTAATCAAATAAAATAAAGAGATTTTGTATTAAAAACAAAAGCATGATCAGAAGGAACTGAAAACTAGACTGTGCTGCTGTTCTACTGTTAAGGAGTGTGTGTGTATGTGTGTGTGGGGTGTGGTTGTGCGATTGAGGATGTAGAGTGAGCCTGAGTTTGTACCTCACCTTTTGCATGATTAATGATGCTTAGTCTCTCAAATCTTTAACCTCCTCTCTTTCAATGACATTCAGTCTCTTTACCTTAACAAATCTTTCATATTCACAGAAAAGCCAGTATTCATTCCATAGTTTCAAATTCAGACATCTCTTCCTCCAACTACCATCTCCCACAATTTCTTCTGTTGTATACTCTGATGGTGTAGTCTGTAGGGAGTTGAGCTAAACCAAATGGCATACCTTTTTGGAGGCTCAAATCCACCAGCAACTCTAAGTAGAAAGATAGGCAGTCTCCTTCCATGTGATATACAACCTCAGAAAACCCACTAGAGGCTCAGCTGTGAGTCAGTTCCAACTTGCCAGCAATAAGTTCGAGAGGTTTTTTGTTTTGTTTTTTTTATTTGAACAGTCTTTTAACCCCATAGCCTCTCAATCTATTGTTCCTACTATCTCCTTGATTAGCTCTAAGACACTCAAGTTCTAATTTGTCCAAACATCCAACTTAAGTCCAAGGTCAATCATTATATACATTCCCAATGTCTATGCCTCCTTCATACTTCCTCAAACTCCTTTGGCTAAACAATCCTTGTTATATTGTACCCAGTGGATGAAGAGACACACGCCAATGGATTATAAGTGAGGTCATTTATTTGTGGCATGGCGAGGGCAGGATTCCCCATTTTCCAAGCTTCAGCTAGGTGCTTTTATATTCTTGCTTTCCTTTAGATGCTGGGCGATGTGGGCCCAGGCTACAATATCTTGCTGTTGACATATTTCTAAGGGTACAGTGATGTAGTCACAGGCACAGTACAAAAATTCTACATCTTGGATTTATCAAGGGTACAGTGCAAAACATTTATATTTTGGGTTTATCAAGGGCACAGGGCAAAAAGTTTACATAAACAATAGCCACTACTGTTTTGGGAAATGGTTCAAGACAACACTTTAGGGTTCCAGTCAGAAATTTCCCACACAGAGGGTTTGGTTACTCAAATTGAGTGAGTGCTACATAAAATGGAGTCTATTTGGGTTCTCAGTTAAACCCAACAATTTATACCACTCCATGCTTGAATCTATATAGCTCAAAGTAGCAGGATGGAAGGCCACATCCATGCTGAATTCTCTCACCCTTCACTGACACCTTTGTTTCTTCATGTCAGCCAAACAAAACTTCTACGAGTTCTGAGCTCCTTCATCATACAGTCCACTATCAACTCTTGGTTCTAACAGTCAGTAGTGCACATCCATGTGAAGTCCACCCTTTCCTACAGAATTCACGCCCACAGTCAGGGCCCTTGGGCTCCATCCTTTCCTACAGAATCCATGCCCATAGTCAGGGCCCTTGGGCTAACTGTTGTTCCCTGTGCCAACAGTGGTCTTTCCTCAGATATCTTAGATAGCCTCCTCTTCTTCCCTTTTAAGAGGTTTTTACTCAAATGTCAACTTCTAAGAAAACTTCTTGGCTTCCTCTTCACAATATCCTGTGCATGTTCACCTTTACTATTCTCCTTAACCCTGAGCTCTCTCTGGCGTACTCAGGCCATAAATCCTGGAACATAAATCCTAAGGGGGCAAACTGGTAACAGTGCTTATGCAGAGGAGACTGAATGAAGAAACGAAAAGTTATTAATGTGACATACAGAATACTCGTACATTTTTACCCACTCTAATTATTTTCCTTCTCTTTCCCTTCTCTCCCTATTTAGATATTGGATAGAATGCTAGATGGCGACTTAAATGGATCTTCTTACTTTGAGACTGTAACGGGATGTACAAATTATTATAACATTTTACACTGCGTGGTAATAACAATATTTTAAAACCTTATATTTTCTGAAATTATTTCACATTTCTTAGATTTGGGAAATTTTATAGCTGATGTTATTCTATATAAGTATGTCTGAACGACATTATATTATTTGGTCTACTAAACTGTGGGATTTCCCCCTCGTCACCAATATTGTATTTATAATTTGACTATTGTGAGCGTAAGATAGTTTGAATAACTCAAAACAATTTCTGATTATTACCATTTTTCCCCGGTGGAGGGTCTTATAAAGAAGTTCTTGTGTAAGGAACATACTTTGAGATTAGAGGTCTGTGTATTGGGCCACAGATTCCAAGTTTATAGTGAGTTTCTTGAAAATGCCTACATTCTTTGTTCTGTACTTAAGACAGCTTAAATTAAAACTTCCAAAGGCTTTATGAAAATATTTGCTTTATCTTAGTTTTGACTTAAGATGTTTAGTAGATTTCAACAGTCCTCACTTCCAGCCCACTGGAATATTTCTGAAGGGATTCAAATAGTTTCTTTATAAAAGTAGAACAAAGTTAATGTCTTTTGTGTAGAATTAATCAAATAAGAGAGAAAAGGAGCCAAGCTAATGATTTAGATTTGTATATTTTTGGTCTAGTACATATGACAATATATTCTGTTTGCTTTATTTTAAATTGCCTTATTTATGGACTATTTTGCAAATAGATTTAAAATCTTCTTTTCTGTAGAATTCTCCAATCTTGTGGTGTAGGAACTAGGTTTCACCATGAGAAAGTCATATAGCAGGCAAGAGAGAAATAAAATTTGTGATTACATTTTATTTTCTTTACAAAGTACTATGTTCCTAGTTAGCTAAAGTCACAAATTGTTCAGTCTTTTTCTGCCTTTTAAAAGGAATTTCAAAAGCACATGATTTACTAATTATTTTTGTTTTAGTATGATTATTATGGGAAGTTTTTTGCAATATTGTTTAATTTTTGGTGTTTTGATAATTTTTTTTTAAATTATAAGAAAGTTAACTTTAAAAGGAAAGTTTACTTATCCAGGAACATGGATAATTTTCTGTTACATTTCATCTGTTTTTTCATTTGGTATAGTTATTCCTGAGGTTATATTTTAGTAAGCTGATAATTTTTATACAGTTTTAATTGGCAGCAGAATATTTAGGGGAAAACATCTTCAGCTTTTAACCACACCGCCATCACCTGTTCCCCTCTTGTCCAGTTGTCCATCTATTCATAAAGTCACTGACAAGGGGCAAGTTGACTGTCTTCTCACTTCTTTCTTTCCCCTCATATTTGCATCTAAAGGTATTGCTAATGGAAGTCACAGGTCACTAAAGATACCTTTCTGAAAAGGAAAATGAACTTTTTCAAATGGGGTCCTGTCTGGGAAGGTATGGTCCTCATGCAGATTTGTCATTAAGTTACCTCAAAACCCTCCAACTTAGACTTTCCAGGACAGGAGTTAGTCAGCATGTCACAAGTGAAGGCCTCATCTTGTTTTATGTGTGATGAGAAATTTGTAGCTTTCCTTTTCACCCTTCACTCTATTCTCTAATACCTTTCTGACAGGAATCTGAAGACACAGGTTACTATGAAAAATTTCTGTCACTCCCAGAAGTCAGAAAAGCAATCCATGTAGGAAACAATACTTTTAACAATGGATCTAATGTTGAAAAATATTTGCAAGAAGATACAATGAAGTCGATTAAGCCCTGGTTAATTGAAATCATGAATAATTACAAGGTAAAGCTGTCACTTCAGTTATTGTCTATTTTAGGGAATTTCCAGATTACTTAGTGCATGAGTGAATTTCTTTTATTTATAATCTGACTTTCTGTAGGATTTTTTTTTCATTTTATAAGATCTTTTCAATGTAAATAACAGACTCTTCTCAAATTTTGATCTCTTTGAATTAAACATTTCAGATTTTCCCCCCTTCTAATTAAATTATTTTTCCCGATAGTTCCTTTAAAAATAGAATTCCTTCTGGCACATACCACCTTTCATCGTTTCCTGGGAAAAGATTCTGCTGAACTGAAAACATGATGAATCTTTTCTAGAAGCCATACTTCTTCCCTTATTGTTTGCTTTGTAAGAGGAATTCTGATAAAGTCAGGGAGGTATGAAATTAACAGGGACTCTAGAGGGTATTTTGCTCCCTCACTCTAAGAGTCCTGGTGACATTATATTTTGAGTGTTGGGCTGGTAACCAAAAGGTCAGTGATTCAAATCTATCAGCTGGTATGAGGAGGAGAAAGATGTGCGTTCTCTTTCTGTAAAAAGGAATAGCCTTGTAAACTCAGTGGATGACCATTGTGAATTGAAACCAAATCTACAAAAGTAATGGGATATTAAAAATGTAACTAATAAATATGCCTAATCTAGACTTATTAATTTTCCGTAAATTTATTGAATGAAAACAAGTTTCATTTTCCTATTTTAAAGATAAAAACAACTTGCTACAATATAATGTCATTAAGGGATATAAAGTTGCATTTGTGTATATATGTATTTATTTGCAGAAGGAAGGTAGAGAACAACTGAAGTTTCCCTAGTACATTAATTTACCTAGGAATTTGTGTGATCCTCCCTTCACCCCTCGTATATTAATTGAACTATAATCCCTGGTTTATAAACTGAAATATAATTCCTTTCTCAAGTACAGTAGACAAGGTTGGGAGTGCAGATTAAATGATATGAACTCCCCAGGTGTTGAGAACCACCACAGAACACTCATTTGGTTGATAAAGGATAGTGTAAGAGATGATCCTGCATTTTGATATTTCAACATCTCTGTCCTCATTGTGTGTGCATTTTAATTCTGCCATTAGGAATTACAGTGAAATCTTAGTGTTTTCTAAATGTTTAACATTTCAATCAGCTGACAAAATAAGGGAACAGTTTAGTATTGTAAACAAACTGTGCTTGCATAAAGAAAGACAATGAAGTGTGCAGTCCATTTGAATGTAGACAAAGACTTGACTGCTGGTCAAACAGACTGTGTATTCACTGATACAGCTGGCATAGCCCACAGGGCAGCGATTATCATGGGCTTGTCTGTTAACTGTGGTAAGCCTCAGAGTTTAGGTAATGGGAGCACAACATAAATTGGCCTAAAACATTAATACCCTTGATGATAACATATATGTCAAGTCCAATGCTAATTTATCATAGAAAATAGCAAGCATATTTGTGTTTATGAGACTATTGATGTCTTTTTTTAGCACTTGATGGATTCCTGACAGCCAATATGGAGCTCTCTAACAGACTGTTAAAGAGTCTGTTTGGTTTTTAAAGACTGGTAGAACTTCTGTTGTGTATTAGCTTCTGTGTAGAATATGTAGTAATGGTATAAAGGGGAGGAATATGCAAAGCTATTTTCTTTTTGGTAATATCAGATGCACAGAGTGTTGAGTTGCAATATTGCGTTAGCAATTTCCAAAAGGACTAGAATGAGAAACTGTCTTTGAGGCTATTTGAATTCTTCATGAATCATTCATTTGGTTCACAATGTTACCAAGATTGTTAGGTCAAGCAAGTGTGTTTATAAGAGGCTAAGAAAGCATGGTGGTATGAGCGTGGGCTGTCAGGGCAAGTATTCGGAGCTTAAATTCTGGTTTCACCATCCATTTGGAAGTATCCTTTGAAGAAGATACTTAATACTCATTGTGTTTCAGTCTTCTCATCTGTGAAATGGGAATAACCATCATAGAGTTATGCCATAGAGTTTTTATAAGAGTTTTTTTATGTTAAGTGCTTAAAATAGTGCTTAGTGGTTAGGAATTACTTGTAAGTATAATGATATTTAACATTTTTGGCAAACATCTATAAGCACTTGCTATATTAAATTGTTGTATAACAAATCCTATAAAACTATAACAAAAACTGTTTAAAAACTTGATTGTCGTCCATGTAAGGAAGAGAAATACCAGCATGTGAAACACAGGCCTTCTCCCATCTCCTCCTGCAAGTTGAAAAGCCTGCAGGTTAGTTCTACTCAGTAACACATGGGGTCCCCATGAATTAGAATTGCTTGATGGGAGGAAGAAACCCCAAATCCAACACCCCAACATAATGCACAAAAGGTATATTCAATTTCTACTTTTAGAATGGCAGAGTAGACACTATCCAGGATTCATTTGCTAGAACACAATGGCCAATCAAATGTGGTTGAGTTGATCCTGATGCATAGTGACCTGGTTGCTCAGTGGTTAAGCACTTAGCTATTAGCAGAATGACCAGCATCTTAAACACACCTATAAGAGAAAGATGTAGCATTCTACAAGAGAAAGATGTAGCAGCCTGCTTCCATAAAGAACATGGCATTGGACCCCTCAAAGGTATTTTTACTCTGCTTTATAGGCGTACTAGGGAGCTCTGGTAGCAGAGGCATGTGCTTTGAATCTACCATCTACTCTGTGGAAGACAGATGGTTAATCTCCTTCCATGCAATTTACTGCCTCTGAAGATTCTCTGGAAGGTCAGCTATAAATTGGTTCCAACTTGACTGTACCCAACCACCACCACCACCACCTACAGGATCACTACAAATTGGAATGAATGATAAAAATGCAACTATTTTCAGAGTGCTCTTTGGAGGCAAGGATGGTGAAGATTTGTCTTGCATTTTTTGAACATGTTCCTAAGAAAGGCTATTCTTTGGAGAGAGACAGTGTGCTTGGAAAGGTGGAAGGACAGCAAAAGAGGAAGACCCTCAACCAGGTGGTTTGAAACACTGTCTCCAGCAATGAGCTTGAGTGTGTCAGAGATTGTGAGACTGACACAGGATAGGACACGATTCAGCTCTGTTGTTCCAAGGGTCACCCTGAGTCATACTTGACTTTATGACACCTAACAACATATCAGAGTCAACAATAACAATCAAAAAAGAAAGGCATGTGATAAAACAAAGGGAGACCTCAAAGTACAAGTTTAAAGCAAAGCCTTAAAAATCATCTGTGAGCTTTTAAAAGGAATACACGAGAATCTTTGCATGGATCCCTCCAGCAAAGAATCTGATTCACTTGCCTTGCATAGAAGCTAGTACAGAGTTGGTTTTGTTGCTGTTGTTAAGTGCTCATTGAATAGCTTCAATTCATAGTACTCAAAAAATCTGAAAGGCAGAAAAGGGGAAAGAGTGGGAGGAAAGGAGGAAGAGATATGACAGAGGGAAGAAAGATAAGGAGGGAGGGGATATCAGGGAAATTAAGGAAGAAAGCAAGGAAGGCAGATGCCTATTCCTTTATAGTATCAATTTTCTTAACAATAATCTTATATTCAGTTGCTGTTAAATACTGTCTGTTGTTTTTGTGTGCTTTGGAGTTGGAACCTACCCATAGCTGACCCTCCTGCAAGTTTTCAGAGATAGTAAATCCCACGAGAAGAAATTGCCCATCTTCCCACAGCGCAACTAGTGGATTTGAACTGCATGCCTTTGGGACTGCAGCACATCTTCTTACCACAAGGCCACTAGAGCTCCCTAAGCATTTTATAGTTGGTTCCAATTCATGATGACCATAGATACATAGAATGAATCATTGTGTGGTCCTGCGTCATCCTCACAATCTTTGCTATGTTTGACCTCGTTGTTGTAACCACTGTGTGAGTTCATCTCATTGAGGGTCTTCCATATTTTGTTGGTGATTTCTACTTTACCAAGCATACAATCTTTCTCCAGAGACTAGACTCTCCTGATAACATGTCCAAAAGCATGTGAGATGATGACACACTACCCGTAATTCTAAGGAACATTCTGGCTTTCTTCTTCTGAGACAGATATTTATTCTCCGGCAGTCCACAGTGTGTTTAATATCCCTTGCCAACACTAAATTCAAAACCATCAATTTTTCTTTGGTTAGTTATTGTTGTACTCGGTTATGTTGTTGTAATGTGTTGTTGTGTCGAAACCAACTTATAATAGACTCACCAGCAGGTTTTCAGAGGCAATAAGTCACAAAGGAGGAGATGGACCATCTTTTTCTCATGGAGAAGCTGGTGGATTTGAACCACCTGCCCTTGGGTTGGCAGTACAGATCCTTACCACCTTGCCATCAGAGCTTCCTGAATGCAAGTAATCTACCACTTTCATTGAAAGGCAGAGAAGGAGAAAGAGTGGGAGGAAAGGAGGAAGAGATATCCCCCTCTCTTTTCTATCCTGAATTTTAAATTAATAACATAGAAGAAGAGATAAGACTTATCTGCAAGTCAGGGAATACGAAATACACTTCATTTGACTCCCCGTGGTGAAAGATGGACAATCTCTTCCAATGTGATTTACAGCCTTGGAAACCTAATGGCACATCAACTCTGTGTCTTCTTGACTTGTCAATGAGTTTGAGTAACTTGCTGTGCTTTTTCTAGATGCCATTGAGTCAAATATGACTCAAAATGACCAGCAGCAATGAACAACGTGTCTGAACCCTATTCCTGCCTGATTGTGTGCCATCCTCACCAACTCTGACATACTTTCGGTGCAGTCACTGTGTCAGTCTACCTGGTTGAGCATCTTCCTCTCTTTTGCTGACCCTCCACCTTTCCAAGAATGAGGTCCCTTTCCTAGCAACATGCCCGAAGTACGTGAGACGAAGCTACACCATCTTAACAAAGTAAAATATTTATGTTGTAGTGAAGCGGTTGGCTGGATTAGAATTTGCTTAGAACAAAAAGGAGTCTATTTGCCAGCATAAAAACTTAGCCAAAATGTTACAAGTTACCAGGCTCACACTTGTGATTTAGGATCAGCA